CATTAAACATGGGACGTGGAACTAGAACAGTCTACCCCAGTGAGCGAAATAAAAAAAAATTCCAACCACCTGAAGAAGTTCGGAACGTACAACGGCCGAAACGGTGTGATAAATATGGCGACAATGTCATTTTTGTCATCGAGTTCAACTCCCTATGAAAATAGCAATCCAGATTTCTATGACGTAGAGTTCATGTCCCTATAAAAATAGCAATCCATACTTCGTTGTCATCGAGTTCAGCTCCCTATTAAAATAGCAATCCAGACTTATTTCACGTTGAGTTCAGCTCCCTATTAAAATAGCAATCCAGACTTATTTTACGTTGAGTTCAGCTCCTTATTAAAATAGCAATCCAGACTTCTTTGACATCAAGTTCAATTTCGTATTACATGTTCTCATGCTAGTTGGTCTTACAACAGATGATCCTTATTGTCAAATGAATTCTATCATCCCGATCTATCCTGTAAATGCAGGCTGCTGTATTGTAAATAATGTATAAAAATTCCGAGCCATTATCCATTAAAACCACCTGTAAATCCAAGTTTACAGCACCTGGTATTCCCAAACGACTATGTATCTCGGTACTGTCCAGTCACGACGTTGCGTAACTACAGAAGTCACGTCAAGGATTTGGAGGAATTAAGAGTTTCACCCTTTCCTAAGCCCTCCTGTCCTACTTATGACGTCCATACGACCAAGCTCGCTGCATTTCTCCATCTCTATTGCTCTCAGTATGCTCTGTGAGGGCAAAGATTTACAATCTCTCATTCCTCATTATATGTCCAAGATATTTCAACTGAAATTCCTTCTTGTTGACATCTTTGTTGCTTAATCGCTTCGCCCATTGAATTCTTAGTCGAGTCATCTCCATATTGCGATAGCAATCCAGACATCCATGACGCTGAGTTCAGCCCCTTATTAAACTAGCAATCCTGATTTCCTTGACGTCGAGTTCGGTACCTTATTGAAATAGCAATCAAGATTTCCTTGATATCGAGTTCAGCTCTCTATTGAAATACCAATCCAGATGTCATTTACCAAGAGTTCAGCCCCCTATTGAAACAGCAATTCCGATTTGTTTGACGTCGAGTTCAGCTACCTATTGAAATAGCAATCCAGTCATCATTTACCTCGTGTTCAGGTCCCTATTAAAATATCAATCCAAACTTCCTTTACCTCGAGTTTATCTCCCTATTGCAAAAATAAGCCAGACTTCATTGTCGTTGAGTTCAGTTCCCTATTAAAATAGCAATCCAGATATCCTTGACGTCGTGTTCAGTTCATTATGAAAATAGCAACCCAGACTTCTTTTACCTCGAGTCCAGCTACCTTTTGAAATAGCAATCTGTACTTCGTTTCCCTCGAGTTCAGCTCCCTATTGAAATAGCAATCCAAACTTCGTTTACATCGAGTTCAGGCCATTATTGAAATAGCAATCCAGACTTCTTTGTCATCGAGTTCAGCTCCCTATGAAAATAGCAATCCAGACTTCTTTGTCATCGAGTTCAGCTCCCTATTATAATAGCAATCCAGACTTCTTTGACATCGAGTTCAATTTCGTATTACATGTTCTCATGCTAGTTGGTCTTACAGATGATCCTTATTGTCAAATGACTTCTATCATCCCGATCTATCCTGTAAATGCAGACTGCTGTAATCCTCTCAATAATGAATTTTAAAATACTATCTAATGTTTAGCCATTTGGTCATATTTTGTGAAGTGAATTAGACGAGGAACCTTTCAACATTGACTGGTACTTTGTTGCATCGAAACCTAGCTTATCTGGGGATGAAACAAGGTATGAAATAGTTATTGGAAAGTTGTTTTTCTACCTATATTTCAACTGTGAGAGCCTGCTCGTCCAGAATATCGGCATACTGTTTTCGAAGTTTTATCTGGGCTCGAAAACCGATCAACGGTTTTGAAAAAGGACAAACGTGAATCATTATTCCGCTTGTGTTTGCAATCAAAATAAACGCGCATTACCTAATGGCTTTTCTAAGCATCTTAAAAGCTGGATTTCATCTTAAATCAAAACATTTACTTATCAAAAGCTTTATCATTTATTGATACTTCTTCAGGAAAAAACTGACGAGACATTGGATACGCTATTCCGGACACCTAATACGAATGAAATACAAACGGGGTGAATTTATTGTTTATAAAGAAGAGAATTCCATTCGAACTACGAGATCTCTTTTCTCTCAAGTGGTGCATTTTCTTGGCTTTCGGAAACAGTTTACCATCCGATGAACGTGAAAAGTCCCCGAATCTATCAAACATGTACAAATAAAGGAAGAAATTTACGGACAAGCAATGCCGATGTGTATCGAAGCCGGGTATCTTAATCGACATTGAAGAGTTGTCCATCAGTAATTAAACGGAGATTTTAGTTAGGCTTCTGTTATTGGCTCAGAAGAGCAATCGCCATTTTGTATCCTATCATTGTGGCGGATGGAGAAATTTTAAGAAGAAGGGCGTTGTCAGTTAACAAAATACGAACTTCATACTAATAGGATGTTGAACAAGTGTAACATAAAAATAAATGGTTTCAACCAGGTATTTGACTAAAGGCACAATTTTCTGTCGTCTGGATATTTTTCTAACTTTTTTACTGCGAAAATCCCAAAACATTTTTAGTATAAGATTAAATTTTTGTTTGATCGAACAAACATTTGTAAAACTTGATAAAAATCCACGCACATGAACTGAAATCTATATATATATATATATATATATATATATATATATATATATATATATATATATATATATATTAAAACATTTTATTTACATTGTTTTTATAGATACAAATATTGAAGTAAATGTTCCGTTTATAATAAAAGTATTAACAACATTTACCGGCCTGAATGTCCAAAAATTGTCATATTTGTATCTATAAAAAAGAATGTATAAACATAAAATGTCTTAAAATAATTGTCTGACTTTGTCCATTTCATAATATATATATATATATATATATATATATATATATATATATATATATATATATATATATATATATACGTGTTTAAATCCAATCTAATCTTTCGGCTTACATAAGCCATTATCAAAGATGACAATTACTTTTCAATATATCAATACAATACACGGACGAAACAATAATGAGTGTCAGTTTTTGTTGCATGAAGAATTTCAAAGCAACGACTAACTCAATCTAAATAAATAAAAGAAGTACTAAACAAAGTAAAAACTGCTCCAGCCAAAATAAAAGTTAGAATAAACTACAGCAATCAACCCCAAAATTGAATAAATAGCTTTATCTTCCCAAACCAAAACAAAACTATTAAATAAGCGATATAAACAAATTTTTACTAAGTTAATAAAACCCCGATAAAAATAAAAATAAATAAGATAAAAATAAATAAGATAAAAAATGAAAATAAAAATAAATAAAAACAAGCAAAATAAATTAATCCAATTAAATAAATAAACACATAAACTACTTCCGGCAAAATAACTGCCAAAATAAACTGCCCACAATGCACCACTGACCCGTATATATAAATAGACGAGACAAAAAAACAAAGCCCGTGGACTGACGATTGCGTCTAGCATGAAACAGCCTGTCGCCTCTAAGTGTTGACTTCAATGTTCACTTTTATATTTACACACGCTCTATCTCTGATATTGAGCACTTTATCTCACAAATATAGCACATCTTAAGACTATATTTCTTCATATATATATATATATATATATATATATATATATATATATATATATAAATAAACGAAACAAGCCGAGAAAAAAAACACTCGTGGCCTGACGATTGCATCTAGCATGAAACAGCCTGTCGGTTCTAAGTGTTGACTTCAATGTTCACTGATATATATATATATATATATATATATATATATATATATATATATATATAGAACTCTCGAACTCTGGACATTTGAATGTAACTCCCGTTTCATGGACAGGACGAGCTGTTCAGTCACCCTAAAGATGATATCTTGAACAAAATTACTCCTTGGCGGTCTAAGATAAATCGTAAAATAAATAGAAATCAACAAACTTAAGACTTACATACAAATACTTATACTGGATCGGCCGTCACCCCAAGGAACAAGGGCCGCGTTCCTCAGAGATGAACCAGTCTGGGATTGAAAATATCTGTCACTGTAATTCTTCTAACAACTATGTATTGCTAGTCATTTTGCTTTAAAAGTGTCTTCACCATTGAATATGTGGCAGATGATACTCAGCTTTTATTCATATACTTGTTTGACTGGACATAATTACTAGTGGTCATGATATGTGGCTTTTATGTTGTAGTTTTGTTCAATTTATATTTTGGAATAACGTTTGATTTAAGAAATTTTAATATATTATATCGATTAATGTCAGAAAGAGTTCTTTCATGTTGGTTGGTTGGTTTTGTTTAACGGCATATCAACACCTCTATGGGTTATTTAATGCCGAATTTAATATTTTACACACAGTTTTATGGCTTCAAATGCAGATAAAATGTATTGCTGGCCATTTTTCTATAAAAATATATTACTGATTATTTTTTATTACAAAAAATTATTGCTTGCATTTCCAAGGCAAAAATGTATTCCTACACTTTCATAGTATTGTGTTTTGTTTGGCGGTTCGGTATTTGCCCATAGCTGGGACCCTAACAGTGGCTATTACCCCGAATTAGGGTGGACATTTAATGTATTTCTACACTTTCATAGTATTGTGTTTTGTTTAGAGGTTGACAATTTGTCTATGGCTGGGACCCTAACAGTGGTTGCTGCCCGAATCAGGGTGGACATTTGAATAACAGCAATTAAGAACTAGTTCCACGTTTTTCAAACTCCCTGCTTTTCCAATCAGAGGTCTTTCTGCCGGCAGAGTTAGGGTTAGGGTTATCTCATACCCAGGACGAGTAAGTAAGTATAACGAACCTAACTTGAATTGGAATTCGGCTCACCCATGAAGAATTCTGAGCCATTACCCATTAAAAAAACCCGCACATTCAAACTTACAGCATCTGGTATTCCCAAACGGCTACCCATCTAGGTACTGACTAGGTTCAACATTGCTTAACTTCGGTGATTGTACGAGAACCGGTGTTTCAACATGATATGCCCGTAAGCTTTAAGAAATCACCCGATGTCTGAAAAGATATATAAAAATAATGATATCAAGTGAGCCGAGAGACTTGAATATTGTACCCCTGCGTGGATGCTCCTACAGATACTGTAATCTTAACAACTGCAACTCCTGGTTTAACTACTATATATCCTCCATATGCTCATAACCTTCACTTCCTAGCTCCTTCTTTTGCGTTTATATCAAAGACCTCATTCAGTAATATTGACCGTCCTGGGTACGATGAGAAACTAAATCCGGCAGCAAGGGATCTGATCTGGAGGTTTTGAGGACCGTGAAACCACCTCTTAATTGATGTTGTTCCCAGATCCACCTTAACCCAGGGTGGCATCACTTGCTAGGGTTTCAACTAGTACCCAGTAACTTGCAAATAGTTAACCCCCAAACTGGGGTCAAAACACAATGAAAGGATAAAAATACATTTACATTGTAAAAATACCAGCAATAAATTTTTGTAAATGAAATTACTATTGCACCAAAAAAAATTAAATGGTCCATAAGGAGTTGATATGCCGCTAAAAAAACAAACGCAAATGCTCTGCCTTGATTGGCTCTTGGGCTTTTTGTGGTTGGAATTTAGTTAAAAATAACAAATAAAATGTGCATGCTGGTCAGAATATCAAGTTTATAGCTTAGTGATAATATAAAGACATGTACGCATAAGGCCGAAGAGTGTTGCGGCCAAGCTATTGTGTTATAAAATAATGAGGTAACTTGTCTGAAAGAATTATGGTATAATGGAGTTTATGAGATGAAATACTTTAATTCGAAGATTACTAGCAGTGTCTTCTTCATTTTTAAGATTCAACTATTCGTTAAAATGAAAGGAACTGACTGCTTCCTTCGGTGTTTTGAAATCTCCATTGCTTTAGTAACATGGATAGAATTTAATTCTGATAGCATCCGGTCAATATTTCAGCAAATCAAAATCATATTTAACAGATCATATTGTAAATCTAACCGCGTTTTTCTTCGGTTATTCTGAATATAAAAATGGTTTTTGATTAATCAAAGAAAAAAGAGCCACAAAAACATAGCACGATAAAAACTATCTTTAGGTTTGAAGCAATTTGCTTGATCCGAAAACAAAATGACCTTTGCTTCACTGATGCTTGTATCGTTGTGATTAGATAATCATCCTTCGGATTGTGCCAAGGTGTATATGGAGTGTAGCGGATTAAATTCCTGACAATTAACCCGAAATATCACTTGCAGAAAGATTGACGTCATTTACATCAACCCACACAATTCCTTAGTTAGGATGTTTTACCTTTAAGGTATTGGATTTTACAAGAATTGCAAAGTATTACCTTTGAGATATGACAGGATAAGCGAGCTATACAAATTTAAGAAATAATTACTCATTTCTTTTTAATGAATCATTAGTTCAAATTGGTCTGAAATGTTTTCTTCATAAGATTCAAATTTTAATTCTCAAAAAAATTACAAAATGAAGTTCCTAAGAGATTAATTTAAACAAATTTGAAAATAGATTATCCTTTTTTTCCGGATTCTGTCTTACTTAAACCGCTTAAAGCTAAACAGCGAAAAGAAATTAATTAATTTTAAATGAAAGAATAAAAATATTTTATGGTATCAGGCAAATTATTTCATTAACAATAAGCATCGCAAAATGGCGGCTGAAGTAGAAAATAAAAAAATAGCAATAACAGAAAAGGTACTGTGGCTACGTTTTTTATATAATTTTTCATGTGTTCTTGTAATTTTTTTTTTCTTTTCAGGACATAAGTTATATAAAAATTGTCTAAACGTTTTATATATCCAAGCGCTTTCGGCTATACTTTAACCATTATCAAGGATGAATTTTATTTTACTTTTAACTGAATATATGTAACTTTAACTCAATTAGGTCTCATTTAAATACACATGCATGTCTACCAAACTCTATCCGTAATAATGCACTTCTATAATACAAATATATTAGCATCATCCACATGTAGAAAAAGACTAAAAATTATGGAAGCATTATTAATAAAAAAAGAAGCCAACCCTCAATGATATCACATATGAACACGGCCACAATGTGCTGACCGTGTTTGGAATATAAAACATTCCTCTAGATACCTCTAGATACATTCATAAAACAATCCATATATTTAGTTAAATGTCAAATAAAATTTCAATAACACCGTAAAAAATATAGATTTACTGCTTTCTAATCCTTTTCACAAATTATTTCTATCGCAAATACAAATAAAGTTATACTTTTTTAAGCTTCACACGAACTTTATGGGCACCCTGTATATAGTAAAACTTCAAAGATCAAGGGCATGAATGGGGATCAGTCTCCTTGGAATTGATCCCTCACCCGGTAAGGGTAGATATGTGCAACTGGGATCACCGAGCCTTTATCTAACGACTGTTCGCATCATTCAGAAAATAAGTTTTTGGAATATGAAACGAAAGGGTCCATGCTCGGAAGTGAATATCATGAACCCAACTGGAATTGGAGCTCGGCTCTGCGACGAACAATTCTGATCCATTATCCATTAAAACCACCCGAACATTTATGATAACAGCACCTGGTATTCCCAGACGGTCACCCATCTAGGTACTGAGAAGCCTCGACATTGCTTAACTTCGGTTATCGTACTGGAAACGGTGTTTCAACGTGATGCGGTCCTAAACCTAAACAAAGAAGAGTTCTTCTTTTAAAATTCTTTAAAAACAAGTTTCTAATTTTGTATTGGTATAATCGAAGGGCGCTCTAATTGATTAAAAGCTGTTATGAATTAGACCCTTGCGAATTGTTATAACTGACACCTACGCAGTACTGATATCAGACACGGAAAAGAAATTACAAAACCCCCTACAGAAGGTAGCGAAGGAGAGTCAGAAGGAAGGGCTAAGCATAAACGACACAAAGACAGAATGCATGGTCATCACTAAAAGGTTGAGCTCGAAATGCGATTTACAAGTAGGTGACACTAAAATCAAGCAGGTGCGGAAGTTTAAATATCTGGGAAGGGCTTTGACAGAGGACGGCAAATGCGACACTGAGATTCATAGACATACTGGGATAGCTAAGGACGCATTCCAAAAGTTGGGCAGAGTATTGCGAAACAGGAGGATCTCTTTGGAAAAAAGGAAGAAAATGGTACTGAGCTTTTAAGCGACATATGTCCTCTTTTACGGCAGTGAATATTGGACGGTCTCCTCAAAGATGAAGAAAAGACTCGAAGCTACGGAGGACTGCTTCTACAGAAGGATGCTGAGGATATTATGGACCGACCGACCGATGAGCTCTTGAAGAATATGCAAACAAAGAGAAGGCTTATACTTAACATCAGGAAGAGGCAGCTGATGTTTCTGGGACACGTAATGAGAAAGGAGGGCCTGGAGAATCTGATACTCACAGGTCGACAAAGGAAAGCACCGCATGTAATACCTAGCGGTTTACGCAAGTGGATGGCAGAACGTGGTCTGGGGGAGTTGACAGAGGGACGAAACTTATTGGGAACCACAAGGGATCGGGGGAAGTGGAGAGCCATGAATCGCCTACGTCCATAAAAAGAAAGAAAGAAGCGGTTATAATATTATGTCTCGCTTAAGCACACGACAGCTAACTCTAAAGGGCTTCTTGACTCACTTTGAGTTCATTATTTAAGGCGTCTTGCCTAGTTCATTTGTTTTACCCGGGGTGTCTTAATTACTCCAAAACATTCCTTTTGAGATTTCTTTTTTTTTTTTTCACTAGTAAATATTTTATTTTATTTCTTAGTATTCACCTCGTCCTATTTCTGGCGAGTTCACCATATACTGAAATTTGAAGTTGGCTGGAAATCATGGACCCGGAAGAGAGTTCCACAAGCGCGAAGTGCGAGAAAAGAAACTGTTAGCATAGAAATTACGGTTGCATCTATCCAGCTCAACTGTACATTGGTGAAACCTCAGCGCCAGTCTACTTCTGCGCTTAATTTCAAAGAGTCTACGTACCATAGCGAATAATTACCATGAAAAATTACCCTAATAATTACCATGAAAGATAGAAAAGAAAAGGCAGAGGAAGGCAACTTTACATCAGTGGGAAAGTGCCTAAAGCCGAGACCCCAGATCGATAATATTGTTGAGTTTCATTTGGATTATTTATATGAATAATTTATGTATAAAGGCTATGAATTAATACATTAAATATTTATGTATTACTACTTTAAGTATTTAGCTCAATCTAAGTTGTGGATTTGTGCCTGGCTAAGATAATTTTAGCATTTACCTGCACGGATAAAAGCGTGCTTACTTGTGTTCTTCTAAATAATATCTGATAGAAATCTAGTTTGTTAAAATTAACACCGTCTTGCATATTTTTCAAAGGAATTTGATTAATTATATTTTACTTTCATTTAAAGGTTTCTGTCAAATTTAATGACACTTTGTAGTCTGCATCTGCCCCCTAACTCAAAAAAATCAAATTTGAATATATAAAATGCTAAGCGGTGAAACATTAGTGCTGAATACAGAGAACTGAAACAAAAGAAAACAAAAATAAATTCAATAGAAGCCGCCTGGTCTCCGATTGTCGATCATTTGTCTCGTCCCATTTCGATTTTCATAATCAGATTAATTAATATAATTATTAAATTCGCCCCTCTTTTATTTGCTAATGAAATTGGCAATTAGGATCCTCATAGTCTTTCAATTGATTGGCTTTTTTAATTAATTTCACACGTTCAGAATTCACGTCAAACTGAGATCTGTTTCAGTTCCTGGCGACGATTGTGCAAAGTTTTTGTCGATGGTAAAAGTGCAGAAAGAGACGACTAATAAGTTCGGGATTAGAATTTCTTTCTTTTTTTTTTATCAAAGTGAAATATTTTCGCTTTTTATCTGCCTACACGAATTCAAAATCAATTAAAAAAATTGAGGTACGGATATTTTTCGTAGGTTCGAATAACAATAAGTGTTGTTAGATATCCTGACACAGATCTAAAAGAATTAAAGATTTATACAAACACCCCAACACACACACACACACTCTCTCTCACACACACACACACACACACACACACACACACATATATATATATATATATATATATATATATATATATATATATATATATATATATATATATATATATATATATATATCTTTTTACAAAAGTGAAATATTTTCGCTTTTTATCTGCCTACACGAATTCAAAATCAATTAAACAAATTGAGATACGGATATTTTTTCGTAGGTTCAAATAACGATAAGTTTTTCTTCTTTTTCCCCTTCTTCTTCATCATCTTCTTCTTCACATCCTCCTCCTCCCTTTTATTACACTCAACGATATGCATTTTGACCTTTTATTAGTTTAAAAAGAAAATAAAGCGTTAAGAATAAGAACAGCAAAAATTGCAATATGAGCACTGGTAAAAAAAATGGTGGTGAAGACATTAGGTTTATAATACCCAGAAATTCATGCAAATATGTAATCAAGAACACATGGCACAGTGGATAAAGGCGTTTGATCGGACCCAAAGAGCGTGTGTTCAATACCTGGTTAAGGTGGTGGAGAGGTGAATTAACAGGAGATAACTTATAACAGACATCCATTCTTCCCAAGTGAGCGAACCGGGAGAAGGCCAGTAATAAATATGGCCACAAAGATTCGGACAATAGTCCGAATAATGTAAATAGTGTGCATAATACCTCATCTCAGAAATATAGACACACACACACACTCATATATATATATATTTCAATGAAAATTCATACAAAATGTAGATTAGTAAAGTTAGTGACATAAAATGGCGAAATCTCTTCACAAAATTTTAAAATTGCATTAACCTACGAACCAATCGATGAATGTTATGATCCGTGTTTTTAATAATTATAAGCTGTATAAGGTCTTTTTTTTAATCTGCTAGTACTTTCAAATGTACATACAGTCATCTTCAGGACTAATCTTTTCAGGCATGGAAATTATTGTGTTTTTAATAAATCCAGGTAGTATCAGAGACGAAAGATTAAATGCGAATCGAAATATGTTTTTTTTAGAAATGTGTTATTGTTAACGGATAAAAACTTTTGGAGCGTGCAGTCGCAATGCTAAGGTTGAATTTTTTTTGTATATATTGAACTGCACCACACACACACACACACACACACATACACACACACACACACACACACACACACACATACATATATATATATATATATATATATATATATATATATATATATATATGCGTAAAGCTTTAAGAACATGAAGACAAATGCATTTTCGCCTCAAAGCATTTTGTCCACACGGACTTAACAGACTAAACAATACATATTTCTCAACCACACTGGACAGACATGCTTGCAGAGGTGTGGGGGTCTCCCTCATACACACATTCAAACAAATATATACACATACACACATCACACACACACCACAAGAATCTTTAAAATAGCATACACGTAACTCACATATCTCCTTCGCAATGACCAATAAAACTACAGAATGACCGAGGCGGTATGTCTGAGACTCATGAATCTCCCAGCCTCTCCTTAAAAGAACCTGAATGAGGCTTTTCAAGGACTGACAAAAAATTAACGATAAAAAAACAAATGAATACTACAGGCAAAGTTCAACTTCTCCAGATATACTCTTTCAACCCTGTAGTTCACCGTTACTTGCAAGAAGGAATTATTTCTCCTGATGATGGGTATGCTGGCCGAAGCTACTCAAGGAGCCTAATTTATATACTAAAACAAAAATATTAATATACAACTCAGTTTATCTGAAAATTAATTTTTTTTTATTGTTCAAGACACACAAACGCACATATAGAAATTATTATATATATATATATATATATATATATATATATATATATATATATATATATATATATATATATATATATATATATATATATATATATATATATATATATATATATATGATAGAACCAACTTCTAATGCTCTAGAGTGAGCAGCTTGGTGAGAGTAGTCGTGGCTCCAGGAGGCACAGTCCTATGGTTACAGAGCCCTCAGTAGAGTTCCACCACGGAATATGTGAGCGAGCGGCGCTTTGTTGAGTCTGATTTGCAATCTCTTCGTCACCGAGGCCCGGTGGAACAGTTGGTATGATGGTGGCTTGGTAACCTAACTGTCAGGGTTTCAATTCTCGGTAGTGGATGCGCGCTGCTGATGAGTTCCAAATATAGGACGAAACTGCCGTCTAGTGCATTCTGTTGAGATTTCTATCAGACTTGATGAATTACTTAATATATATATATATATATATATATATAGTAGGCATCCGTTTATCTCACGAATTAATGGAAGTGCCATGCTTTGTCAAAATTCTGTCTTTTGGTAAAGAGACTGCAATTACCTAAACAGAGCGAAGGTCGTATACAGACCAGCATACAGACCAGATCCATATGAATACAGTGCATTATATTCCAGACTGACATGGCTAAAGGAATTGCTGACTGGTTGTTAATGTTGACTGCCAACCACTTGCGAGGCTACACTCCGGAGTTTATCTCTGGATTTACCTCTATAGCCTTTTCCGTTTTGGATTTGACCGCAAGGCTGTAGGGTTTTAATAAAAGGGATTTTTCTTTCTGGATTATGTAACAGAGTTCACTGAGCTCTCTAGGCTTGGTTGGCAACCAGTCTTATCGAAG